GGTTATACCAGGAAAATGTCTACAGCTGCAGGCCTCATCCAGGTATCACTTTTTTCACCCAGCGATTGGTTTTCATGTAAAAGCAATCCTAGTGGCTAAGTAGCTGCAGCATTTCTTTAACAAACAGCAGGATATGATGGCCCCCTCCCCCGCTGCCTTCCACGGCCTTCTCAGGCAGTCCCGTGCCATCGTGGGAACGTGAGAATGCAGCCGGTGTTTCTGCCAGCTGATCATAGAGCTGATTGGAGACCGGAATGGTGCCAATCATCTCTATAGTCTAAGAAATCGGAAGCTATGAGCATTTCATTACTTCAGTTTTGCAGGATATAAACAGCGCCATTTGTAAATTGGGAAAAGCATCTGATCACCGATATTGGTTTGATTAGATAATGTAAGGGCAGAGGAGATATCCAGAGTCTGATAGATCCCAGATTTCTGAAAAAAGAATATATGACAATGCCCATTGAAGGTATAGGGGATATTTGCATTCCCTGTGATAGCATTAAAAGTGATAAAAAAAAAAAGAAAGAGACAGTGTAAAAATAATTAAAAAAATCAAAATAACTTTAAAAAAAAAGTACCCTCTTCCCTCCCCCCCGCACACATGTGCACCTGTGTTTCACGAGCGTTGACCCTGTGCCAGTATGGAAACAGCGGTTTCACCATGCATGTGAGGTATCACCACGAACGTCAGATGAAGGGCAATAATTCTAACACTAGACCTCTCTGTAAATCTAAAATGGTAGCTTGTAAAAGGTTTTTAAAGCATTACCTATGGATATTAAAAATGTTTGCAGTTTGTCGCCATTGCACGGGGCATGTGCAGTTTTAAAGCATGTCATGTTTGGTATCTATTTACTCAGCATATCATCATATTTTATATTTTACCAAATAATTGTACAAAATATTGTGTTTTTATGCATTAAAAGTAAAAAAACTGTATTTAAAAAAAAAAATTGTGTTTGAAAAATTGCTGCACGAGTACAATGTGACATAAAAAAATTCAGTACTATGTGACATAAAAAATTGCAGCACCCACCATTTTATTCACTAGGGTGTTTGACAAACAAATTTTTTTTTTTTTTTTACACAAAATTGTCACTTAAATGATTTATTGCTCACACACGCCATGGTTATATGTGGAATTACTGCCCCAAAATGCATTCTGCTACTTTCTCCGAGTATGGGGGTACCACATGTGAGAGACGTTTTGGCAGTCTAGCCAAGTACAGGACCCCAAAATCCAATAAGCACCTTCAGGCTTTTAAAGGGCTTTATTTTCCTCATTACACTTCCTGACTACCTATCACAGTTTCGGAGGCCCTGAAATGCCAGGATAGCACCTAACCCCCCAAATGACCCCTTTTTGGAAAGTAGACACCCCAAGGAATTTGATAAGAAGCATGGTGAGTATTTTGCAGATCTCGTTTGTTGCCACAAGTTTTTGAAAATTGAAGAAAAACAACAAAAACATTTTTTTCTTTTTTAATATTTCAAAACCTTGTGAGAAAAAATGAGATCTGCAAAATACTCACCATGCCTCTTTTTTAAATTCCTTGGGGTGTCTACTTTCCAAAAGGGGTCATTTGTGGGGGTTTGGTGCTATCCTGGCATGTCAGGGCCTCCGAAACTGTGATAGGTAGTGAGGAAGTGTAATGAGGAAGTTACGCACCTTCAGGCTTTCAAAGTGGTAATTGGATTTCAGGCTCCTGTATGTGGCTGGGCTCACAAAACATCTCACACATGTGGTACCCCCATACTCGGCAGAAGTAGCAGAATGTATTTTGGGGTGTAATTCCACATATACCCATGGCTTGTGCGAGAGAAATATACAATTTAATTGACAACTTTGGGTTTAAAAAAATGTAATTTTTCCAAAAACTTGTGGAAAACAAAATCTTCCATGGACTCAATATGGCTCTCAGCAGATAGCTTAGGGTGTCTACTTTCCAAAAAGGGGTCATTTAGGGGGTGTTTGTACTCCTCTGGTATTTTAGCACCTCAAGAAATGTGATGGGCAGTCAGAAAGTAAAAGCTGCTGTAAATTCCATTATCTATCCCATAGATTGTAGACGCTATAACTTTCACACAAAGCAATCAATATACAATATATCAATATACAATTATTGGGATTATTTTTAACCAAAAACATGTAGCAGAAAACATTTTGGCCCAAATTTATGATGAAATTTTTTTTTTTTTTTTTATATTTTTTTATGACAGAAATGAGAAAAATGTTTTTTTTTAAAAAAAAAAAATTTCAACTTTTTTTGTTTATAGCACCGAAAATAAAAAGTGCAGAGGTGATCAAATACCACTGAAAGAAAGCTCTATTTGTGTGAAAAAAAGGACGTAAATTTCATTTATTTACCATATTTCATGACCGCGCAATTGTCAGTTAAACTAGCGCAGTGCTGTATAGCAAAAAAATGGTCGTAAATTCCATTATCTATCCCATAGTTTGTAGACTCTATAACTGTCACACAAAGCAATCAATATACACTTATTGGGATTTTTCACCAACACATTTTGGGCTAAATTTATGACTAACTTTGAGTTTACTATATATTTTTTATAACCAAAAGTAAAAAAATGTTTTTTAAAAAATTTTCATTTTCCTTTTTTTTGATTGTAGTGCGAAAAATAAAAAGTGCACAGGGGATCAAATACCACCAAAAGAAAGCTCTATTTGTGTGAAAAAAGGACGTACATTTCTTTGGGAGCAGCATTGCATGACCGCGCAATTTTCAGTTGAATTAGTGCAGTGCAGAATATCAAAAAGAGGCTGGTGAGGAAGGGGGTAAATCCTAAAACATGTCCAAGAAGTCTCAGTCTCAGTTCCTGCAACTTCCCAGAACTGCACTTTCTAAGTGGACATTGACTGTATATAAGATTTCCCATGTGTTTTATATCACCCCCAACCCCCCATGAAGATTTCCTGTAGAGGTTTATGGCAGTATGGTCACCTGGCTGATGTAAGGAATAAAAGCCCCGGACCCGTCATTCCTAACACCTCCTAGAGAGTATTGTCATCCATCTTCCTGCAGGAACTGAATTCAGAGGAGGTATGATCAGCGATTGTCATCCATCTTCCTCTGGGGAACTGAATTCAGAGGAGGTATGATCAGCGATTGTCATCCATCTTCCTGCGGGAACTGAATTCAGAGGAGGTATGATCAGCGATTGTCATCCATCTTCCTGCGGGAACTGAATTCAGAGGAGGTATGATCAGCGATTGTCATCCATCTTCCTGCGGGAACTGAATTCAGAGGAGGTATGATCAGCGATTGTCATCCATCTTCCTGCGGGAACTGAATTCAGAGGCGATGATCAGCGATTGTCATCCATCTTCCTGCGGGAACTGAATTCAGAGGAGGTATGATCAGCGATTGTCATCCATCTTCCTGCGGGAACTGAATTCAGAGGAGGTATGATGATCAGCGATTGTCATCCATCTTCCATCGGGAACTGAATTCAGAGGAGGTATGATCAGCGATTGTCATCCATCTTCCTGCGGGGAACTGAATTCAGAGGAGGTATGATCAGCGATTGTCATCCATCTTCCTGCGGGAACTGAATTCAGAGGAGGTATACGATCAGTCAGCGATTGTCATCCATCTTCCTGCGGGAACTGACTGAATTCAGAGGAGGAGGTATGATCAGCGATTGTCATCCATCTTCCTGCGGGAACTGAATTCAGAGGAGGTATGATGATCAGCGATTGTCATCCATCTTCCTGCAGGAACTGAATTCAGAGGAGGGTACGATCAGCGATTGTCATCCATCTTCCTGCGGGAACTGAATTCAGAGAGGAGGTATGATCAGCGATTGTCATCCATCTTCCTGCGGGGAACTGAATTCAGAGGAGGTATGATCAGCGATTGTCATCCATCTTCCTGCGGGAACTGAATTCAGAGGAGGTATGATCAGCGATTGTCCATCTTCCTGCGGGAACTGAATTCAGAGGAGGTATGATCAGCGATTGTCATCCATCTTCCCTGGGAACTGAATTCAGAGGAGGTATGATCAGCGATTGTCATCCATCTTCCTGCGGGAACTGAATTCAGAGGAGGTATGATCAGCGATTGTCATCCATCTTCCTGCGGGAACTGAATTCAGAGGAGGTATGATCAGCGATTGTCATCCATCTTCCTGCGGGAACTGAATTCAGAGGAGGTATGATCGACTGTCATCCATCTTCCTGCGGGAACTGAATTCAGAGAGGTATGATCAGCGATTGTCATCCATCTTCCTGCGGGAACTGAATTCAGAGAGGAGGTCATCCATGATCAGCGATTGTCATCCATCTTCCTGCGGGAACTGAATTCAGAGGAGGTATGATCAGCGATTGTCATCCATCTTCCTGCGGGAACTGAATTCAGAGGAGGTATGATCAGCGATTGTCATCCATCTTCCTGCGGGAACTGAATTCAGAGGAGGTATGATCAGCGATTGTCATCCATCTTCTGCTGCGGGAACTGAATTCAGAGGAGGTATGATCAGCGATTGTCATCCATCTTCCTGCGGGAACTGAATTCAGAGGAGGTACGATCAGCGATTGTCATCCATCTTCCTGCGGAAATGATCAGATCAATGAAACGTTTGTCATAGACAGACCATCATGTGCCGATCATATACACAGACATTTGTATCACGGGAAACATACAAGAAGAAACATGTATGGAGAAAGACACGGGAAAGTCCCAATATGTGCATTCACCAATCACTCCTTCATTCCCGGTATACACACAATTCCATTGCTTCCATGTGTACACCATCAGTCACTCTTCTAGAATTGGGACATTTTATTACCACCCACTTCTTCGGTGATCCCCACCATGCAAGTATTGTCCTCACCTACAACTGTGGGCCTAATGAGTGCTTGGAACATTTGTCCACAAAGTATTAATAATAGACCTCCAAGTGTTTGTGAAATCTCCCACCACAAATGTACTCAGCCAATCACAGGGCAGGACTCCATTTTTATTCTTCTCCTGCCATCAATGACCAACCTGGTCCCACACTTCATCCATGTCTTTGGGGACCTCTGATCTCTTTATGAACTGTTTCTTCCATGATGAAGATCAGCCATGGAGTATATCTGAGGTGTATATCAGGGTGTGCTTCTTCCCCACATGAGAGCTGGGATGTCCAGCAACATTCATCTAGAAGACATTTCCCGCACTCAAGGCACTAATACACCTCCAGGGTTGTGTGGGACCCCTGATGTACAGGAGGACAGGACTTCAGTGCGGAACATTTCCCTCACTCAGGAGTGGAAAGTAGCTTCTCCCTCATGTGCAAACTGTGATGTTTGTAAAGATGGGACTTCTGTGAAAAACATTTCCCACACTCAGGACAGGAATACGGCTTCTCCCCTGTATGAGATCGCTGATGTGTATAAAGACTGTACTTCACTGAAAAAAATTTCCCGCACTCAGAACAGGAATACGGCTTCTCCCCTGTGTGAGATCTCTGATGTCTGTAAAGATGAAACTTTTGTGAAAAACATTTCCCGCACTCAGAACAGGAATACGGTTTCTCCCCTGTGTGAGATCTCTGATGTTTGTCAAGATCAGACTTCTCTGAAAAACATTTCCCACACTCAGGACAGGAGTACGGCTTCTCCCCTGTGTGCAATCACCCGTGCTTTATCCACCACCAAATGAATGGAATAAACTCACCAGAGCTCAATGCTGATTAGATTATAAATCAGCACAAGCGCGTTTGCTCTGGGAGCGATGAATAAGTAGATCATGAAGCAGCACTCTATAGTATAGACAACTTCCAGATAGCAGGAACAATACTCTGCAGTGATATTGAGGTATAGCCAAGACTCCTTATAAAACGATCATCCTCCAAATGTATAGTAACATCACTCAAAAATAAAGAAAAGGCATGATGGTGCAGCAAGTAAGAACCATTAAAACTTTTATTTCAATCGCATCCTACTCACAAAATAAAGTGTCCACCTGACACTGGTATAGCAAACGATCAGATATACGGGATGGACGAGCCCCGTTCACTGCGGACACCTCGCCGACAGCTCCAGGGAACGTCCTGACGTCATCCAATAAGCTCCGCCCTACGCGTTTCGTCACTCTGACGTCCTCACGGAGCGGCATGGATCAAGACGTCAATGCAACCTATATATACCGCTTGCACTCTGCATGATAGTGCTTTTCAACCAATAGCGGCAATAACAACAACACACTGCTTGCACTTACGCATAGCGGCGCTTCCTGACCAATAACAGTGGCGGTGTACTAACCCACCACCACTCGTTTGGCGAGGTTACATGATATAACAGTATCAATTAGGACATATATCTTTTCCTTTATAATTATATACAACACATCATAATGAGTAAATTATAATTCAAGTAAACAATTATTAAAAAGCATATTAAAAACATTGCAAAATAAAATTTAAACTCAAAATTAAACTATAAAAAAATAGAAAAATTTATATAAATAAATTAAAAAATCCCAAATGTCAAGTTCTACAAAGGAAACTCTATATTACCCGACATTTATATTTCTTTGTCAACCAGTGTATTTCTTCATAATTCTCAATTCCATAGTCACCATATTATATAAAGGGAGACTCCAACACATCTCATACTTAAAGGAGATGTATATGCATGCATCCACCTCAAATTTCAATATTAATATATAGTATCACAATTATAAGTAATAAATTTATATATATATCTATATTTTATACCCCAGACTGTACTGAAGTCCCCTTAAAGAGAACCTCCCTATAAATCACTTCAAAGGGAGAACCTTTTCCTCATCTTTATTTGTATTAGTGATATGCATGCATATGTCATCCCTTATTCTCTCAACTATCCTATATATTTGGTATACTTTAAACTATATATATACACCTCTCTCAACTTTATATCAAAAATTAGTAAGGAAGCAGTTTAGATCTATATCTATGTTTAACCCATTAGGTTTTAATACATCTAATTCATGTATCCAAAATGTTTCCCTTTTGGATATTGCATTAATCAAGTCTAGTCCCCTCCAATGTTTGTTAACCTTCTCTATTCCATAAAAGGTAAACTAGACTAGGGTCACTATCATGTTTCATCTTAAAGTGCCTGGATACACTATGCTTATCATATCCCTTTCTTATATTATTAAGATGTTCTCCAATCCTAGTTTTTAATAGTCTTCCTGTTCTCCCTACGTACTGTAACCGACATGGGCACTCTAGAACATAGATCACATGGGATGAATTGCATGAAATCAATGAATTGATCTTATATTCCTTATTTGTATGTATTGAAGCAAAACTCTTTCTTTTTTTCTTTGAACCTTTATGTACTGTTTTACATGCCTTACATTTGTTACAATTATAAAAGCCTTGTAATTCAGGAAAAAAACTTTTTTTCTTTAGGTGGATCTAAAACATTGTGGACCAATTTCATCTGCAGTGATTTATTTTTTCTATATATGAACTTTGGTTTATGTGGAATAATTTTCTTCAACGTCTCATCTTTAAGCAGTATAGGCCAGTATTTTCTAAAAATCTTCTCAATATCCCTATATTGGTCATTGAAATCAGAGATAAAGGCAATATCTCCTTTATTTTCCTTTAATATTTCTGCCCATCAAAAGTATATCTCTATCTCTGTTCTCAATTATTTTTCTTTCAGTCTCCAAAAAGGATTTATCATAGCCTTTATCAACAAACCTATCTATAATAAGTTTAAATTTTAAATTTTATTTTGCAATGTTTTTAATATGCTTTTTAATAATTTGTTTACTTGAATTATAATTTACTCATTATGATGTGTTGTATATAATTATAAAGGAAAAGATATATGTCCTAATTGATACTGTTATATCATGTAACCTCGCCAAACGAGTGGTGGTGGGTTAGTACACCGCCACTGTTATTGGTCAGGAAGCGCCGCTATGCGTAAGTGCAAGCGGTGTGTTGTTGTTATTGCCGCTATTGGTTGAAAAGCACTATCATGCAGAGTGCAAGCGGTATATATAGGTTGCATTGACGTCTTGATCCATGCCGCTCCGTGAGGACGTCAGAGTGACGAAACGCGTAGGGCGGAAGCTTATTGGATGACGTCAGGACGTTCCCTGGAGCTGTCGGCGAGGTGTCCGCGGTGAACGGGGCTCGTCCATCCCGTATATCTGATCGTTTGCTATACCAGTGTCAGGTGGACACTTTATTTTGTGAGTAGGATGCGATTGAAATAAAAGTTTTAATGGTTCTTACTTGCTGCACCATCATGCCTTTTCTTTATTTTTGAGTGATGTTACTATACATTTGGAGGATGATCGTTTTATAAGGAGTCTTGGCTATAACTCAATATCACT